CACTTTGTATTAAAAATTTCAAATCTTCCGTTATAATATGCGACAATATATTCTTTACTGATATAAACAAAGTTAATTTCATCCATTTATTATAAAAATTGAGCTAGTTGCAACATTTTTAAATACAAAGCTTAAAATTGATTAACCGCCTAACAGGAACGGACATTTAAACGAGCACCAGCAGCGGGAATTTAAATAAACTCCGGCCAGCACAAGCTTGCCACTAACTCAAAGTAAGGTGTTTAAAGTTTTAAATGTAATTCTGTCCAAATTATTGACGATTTCTACATTATATTAGGGAAATTGAAGTCAATTTTGAGTGATGTTAAGTTAAATTTAACGAATATAAACCAGATTTCGAACGATTTCAAAGTTATTTATGAAATTTTGACAAAATTATTTCAGTTTCAAGTTAATACAAAGATGTTCAACAAATTTGTGAGAGATTTCACGAAAATTTATGGAATACTATTTAATATCTGGTACAAATTTTATGTACATATTTTAGTGCATATGTCGGAAGTTTTTCAAGCATAAATGCGTACCTATTTAAGGGATCATTGGGGCATAAAAATCCTGTCCCTACTTATGAGACACTGGTGAGAAAACTGTTCTGACACTGATTTATTAACAGATTGGTGATAATGGGATGTGGATGGCATATACATCCTTACAGGTGTAATTTATCTTCCTGTACTTACCATCTGATAGTTTTAGGATAGGAAGGAAATTCACCATTTCATGGCTTTGCACAGTGTTCCGGGAAAGACTCTAAATAAGGCCGCTATCAGCTGAAGGCAAGATGTTACTTCATGATTTTACAGAGTAAAAGCTTGGAGAGCAGCTTGTGTTTTATACCCCTCATACACAGTTTTACAGAAGTAGAGCTCATAACCTAATCAAGACCAAATAAATCATTTGCAGTTTCTGTGTTGAGAGTGTAGGAATGTTGTAATATTGAGATATAACACTTTGTGAACACTGGGTCATATAAAATTTTAAAGTTTGAGTATGCATCTTTAACATGACTGTAATATAAAAATAATTTTTATCCTTTATTGTTTGGGAGGAAGGATTTCTAATCTCCCGAAGCTGTAAGCGAAGTAACCATATTTTAGTAGCTGTAAAGATATTTGTAAACAGACAGTGAACCGCTCAGCTACCTGGATTGTATGCATTTTATCCCATTAGATACATTAAAGGTAATTTATTTTGCACACATTCACTCCATTTTAAGCTATGGCATATTTTTCTGGGGTAACGCTTCCTATGCCTGCAATGTCTTTAGACTACAAAAGAAGGCTATGAGAATTATTGCAAATTTTGGTCCAAGAGAATCATGTAGACATCTATTTGAGAAATTCGAAATACTCTCATTCTATTCCCAATTCATATACTCATTGATTTTATTCACGATTAATAATGATCATCTTTTTAATGCTATTACCATGATTCATGAACATAAAACCCGAACCCATAATAATCTATATTTGCCTTCTGTGAACCTGACAAAGTATAGTCAGAGTGCATATGTGGCGGGTATTAAAGTTTTCAAACATTTACCTCAAACTTTACAAGAGTTGACTTTGGATGTACCAAATTTTAAGAGAGCACTAAAGAGATTTTTACTTCATCACTCCTTTTATTCCATGAAAGAATACTACCAACAGAAATGGGTATAATGTGTAATGTAAGAGAACACACAGATTGTGACAACAAATGAACTGATATAGAAATATGTCATAAACTACAAATTATGTAATTATCCTGTTTTATTTGTCTCTTTTTTATTGATTGTCTCTTTTATATGCATTTTAATTTGACGCACTTGATTAATGGAATGAGTAATGAATGAATGTCTTAATGGAAATTTTATTTTATTTTAGTCCATTATAAATCTTGATAAATTTCTTGATCATTGTTTAATGTGTATTATAAGTATTATAAGTTTACCTCATTTAATTGCAATATTACTGTATTATTGTATAGCTACTATGTATTCTAACTTGACTTGTTCCATATCCTATGGTGTCTCACCTGTACTGGATTTACGGAATATAAATAAATTCAATTCAATTCAATTCAATGCATCTCTGCGGCATTGCAGCATTCAGCTTGTACAGGTCAGTCTGGCAGAAGGGAACATGAATTATAATTTATACCACATATTGTGGAGTGTGTTATTTTCCCCAAAATGTTCTGCTTTATGGCAGGTTTTGGCATTAGAGAAGTTACACGCACTTGCGCCACTCAACCATCATGGAGAACTAACAAAACTGGGCTGTTGAATGGCTGAATTTCCCATTGATCCCATGATGGCAAAAATGATCCTTGCATCAGAAAAGTAAGTTACTTGATATGCCAGCATGCAGTTAACTGTTCTAGTTCATATTCTGTGCCTATTTTTGCTATAAGCACTTAGAAGTCTTAGTATATACAGATTGATATATTTAAGATCATATCCAAATAGGAAATATTTTATCTCTCAGTGAACCCAAATTAAATAAGTATATAAAACCTTTCTGGAAGTATCCTTCATTGTCAGAAATACATTCATTTTTCTTGCCCATGTTTCTGTTGTACACTGAGGTACAAAATGCAGTGTACACTCTCAGGGCACAGTTTTATATGGATAACTCTTTGTGTATAATGTCCCCATACCAGTAGCATGACACTAATCAGAAATACTTTTTTGCTTTTATAATTTTCCTGAAAGTCTGTACTCTTTCCTACTGAGCAAGAACAGATAATAACATTTCAGTTGGCTGTATCCTTTGATTGCAGGTATAAGTGCTCAGAAGAGTTTCTGACTATTGCTGAAGTGCTTCCTGTAAATTGTGCCATTTTCTACAGACCCAAGGACAAGAGAGTCGATGCTGATACTGCACAACACAGCCTCTTTACACCAGGTGGTGATCATCTCATGCTGCTGAATATTGACACACAGTGGTGTTATGCGAATTTCTTGCAGCATCACTCTCTGAAACGTGGACGCGACTTACGTGATCAGTTGATGGGGCTCATGGCACGTGTTGATATAGATCTGGTTTCAGAAGCAGGTGACACTGTTGGAATCAGGAAGGTAACCCAAAGTAAAATCTAACAATACATACAGATAGGACCCTCGTATTTCTGCATTCAGACATTCAGTTTCATTAGTCTCAGTCTGCAACGAGCTGTGAATCTGAGAAATGTTTTTAGTAAAATATAAGCACAGTGTAACAGTTTCGGTGCATTTTCTCCCTTTTATTCCATTCTCTTGAAAAATGTAAGAGTTAAGAAAAAGCATATTGGGTATGAAATATGTTCCATTTTTCTCTGCAGCTCTTGCTCCAAAAGTCTTGTTCTCTGAAATTCTGAGTGAGTTACACTGAAGATCTGTGCAGAAATGTATGTAGGCTTTCATGTAGAGTGTCCACGGTCGCTGTCTGATTTTAAATAAAATTGGAATGTCAACAAATCTTAACAAAGCTCCTCAGTATGAAATGTCATGAAAATCAGTTCGGCAGTTCTACAGCAAGTTCCTGCATTTATCCACATGACAGAAAGATGGAGATGACAAAGCAAATAGTAACACTGTAAACATGCCTAGAGGTTCAGATTTTGTGGTTTGCATCTTATTCTATGAAATACACTGCAGTCACAATATAATTGATTTTATATTGGAAATCACTCTCACTTATGGAGCTGAGCCATTCTTGAGAAGCCGCCAGTTGTGCAGCTATTCAAGAACTTCCCAGCATTTTATGGAACCCAAAGGTTCATTACTGTGTTCACAAGAGCCCTCCTCTGGTCCCTATCCTGAGCCAGTTCATTCCAATCCATTCCATCTCATTCTATCTCTCTAAGATCCATTTCAATATTGTTCACCCACTTACACCTTGGTATTCCCAGTGGTGTTTTTCTTTCTGGCTTTCCTACCAATATCCCATATGCATTCCTCTTCTCCCTCATTCGTGCTACATGCCCTGCCCACCTCATCCTCCTTGACTTGAATATTCTAATTACACTTGGAGAAGAGTACAAGTTATGAATTTCCTCATTATGCAGTTTTCTCCAACCTCCTCTCACTTCATCCCTCTTTGGTCCCAGTATTCTCCTCAACATCCTGTTCTCAAACACCCTCAGTACAAGGATACTAGGTATGCTTATATACGTGTATAATTATTCAGGCCACTTCCTGAGGATATTATGAAATTTACTCCCTACTACTGTCAGCAGATGCAGTATCACAACAGAATTTCCAGATGCATTTAAAATAATCAGTCACTACATTTCTTCTAGTTACATGAGAATAATTTAATTCCACAGCTTGAATGGTGTTCCTTTGAGGTTTCAGCTAGTATTGTGACATGGCAAAGAAAGCTTATTTTATTCTGGACAAAATACAGGTACATTCTCTAGTAAACACACTAATATCTTGTCTCCTTCATCTAAGTTTTGTTAGTTGATTTTAATTCTAATGAACAGCATGAATGTATCATGATTATATATGAATATACCCTTTGGAATATTTCCATTTCATTCTTTTTCCAGACGATAACCATGCTGTATTGCCACAAGTACAACATGATTTAAAATAGTTGTGATGAAGGCTGTGCTTGAGCTAATTTTGACTTTATAACAAGAGAAATCAAAGGGGTAAAGAGAGCTTGCCTGACTGGGGCAAGAAATGTTTCTCTTCTGCAATGTCCAGACCAGCTGCGGCGCCGACCCAGCATCCTGTCCAATGGGTACTGGAGTTCTTTTCCTTGTGTTAAAGTGGCCAGGGCATGAAGCTGACAACTCACCTGTTATCCAGCATCTCTTCAAGGTGCAGGGCTTAGCTGCTTAAAAACGGATAGAAACTCCAGGAAAAAATCTCTAAGTCTTTCTTGATCAATTTGACCAAAATAAAATAAAGCCATTTTGTGCCAAAACGAAACTACCTCTGCTTGATAAACAACACACAATTCATACATGTGACCATCATACCCACATCTTACAGCGTGAATGCATTTCAAATAATCATTTAATTGCTGAAGTAGACAAATGAGCAGCAGTTTTCAAAATTCCAGCAAGCAATCCTGCCAATGCAACACAGTGGTTCTGTATTTGTAAGAGTTCTCATTCTGATATGCAACAGTTTTCAAAGCCCCCATCTCAGAACACTGTCCAGTGTGTACTGGGGATAAATCATGAGGGGAGTGAAAGTGACGACTCACATCCCTCTAGTGCCACGGCCAGGAATGGTGGAAACGCACCTCCATGCCCCCATGTGTCTATGGCATAGTGCTCAACTATTTAAGCATATGGTCGTCATTTATCTTAATCATGCACAGAAAGATCTGAGTGTTCTAATAAAATAATGGACTCGTGGTTTCTGTTTGTATAACAATTATAGATTTATTAATTTAAAACAACCAGAATACAGTACATTGATTACATAACAATTATGGATTTATTAATTTAAAATAATCAGAATAGAATAAACACATTCATTAAACAAAAACTATAGATCTATTCACTTAAAATAATCAAAACAGAATACATCACACTATAACCACAATTTCACTTCCTTCAATAATGAATCCATTTCTTCTAAGAGTTCCTCGTCCACGTCCACGTCCAGAACCAGAATATCTTCGTCGTCATTGTCACAGCACCCCTTCCAGGTGGTTGTGCTTGAAATAAGAAATATGTATGATAAGAAATAGCAGATTTGCAATAAAATAAGCAGGTTCTGAGAGCAAAAATAAAACTATAAAGTTCGTGACTACGGTATATTGACTTAATTACTTACTCATGGAGCTGAGCCCTTCTGGAGGAGCTGACAATTTAGCAGCTACTCAAGAATTTCCCAGCATCTTATGGAACCCTAAGCTTCATTAGTGTTCACAAGAGCAATCCACTGGTCCCTATCCTGAGCCAGATCTGTCCAATCCATACTATTTTTTCTTTCTATTATCCATTATAATATTATCCTCCCACCTACGCCTTCGTCTTCCCTGTGGTATCCTTCCTTCCGGCTTTACTACCAATATCCAATACGCCTTCCTTTTCTCCCCCATTCGTGCTACATGACCTGCCCACCTCATCCTCCTTAACTTGATCATTCTAATTGTACTTGGAGATAAGTAGAAGTTATGAAGCTCCTCATTATGCAGTCTTCTCCAACCTCCTGTCACTTCANTTGTTCTCAAATATCTGAACTGTGCCACATTTTCAAAACATCTGTTTCCTATCTTTATGTCATGATTTTGCACTGCATTTTGGTGACGAGACAGTAACATATACTTAGTTTTCTCTGTATTTACTTCTAGACCAACCTCTTTACTTGCGCCAATTAAAGTGCGTGTGTTTTTTTTATGGTATCTACATTGTCACCCAGTAAATTCACAT